CCGCGTCGGGGGCGGAGCGGGGTGACGCACAGCGGCAGTCGTGGCTGCAGGAGGACGCGCACGGCGGCACCGCACCGGTGTCGCCGCCCAACCGTGAGGTTGTGTGCAGCGCTCTCGTCGTGCTGGCCGCGTGGAGCAGCGAGGTGCAGCTGTCGGTGCCGACGCTCGCAACGGTGATGAAGCCAATCATCGCTATTCTCTCAGGTACGGCAGGGCACATCACCGCCTCTTCTTCTTACTCCTACTCCTCTTCCACCTCTGCTGCTATTGTGCCGGTAAACGAACTCCTGGCGGTCGTTGACCTGCTCTTCTACACACAGCGGGCGGCCGTTGCACAAGTGACGTTCGTCCCGCACATTCAGCTGCTGCTTGCGCTGCCGTGGAAGCAGTGGGCCTCCTGGATCGTGGCAGCGTCGGAGGACGCTGATTCCGCCNTATCGCTGTGCTGCTCCGCCATTGCCTCCAGCGGCTGCGTGTCGCCCACTCGCTGGAGTCCGTCGCGCCGGACGTGCTGCATTTTGTGCGATGCGCCGTGGAGGACTTCCCACTCACCGACGCTCTAGTGGCCGATGTGATTCAGACGCTGCTTGCCTGCCACACACAAGAGCCGTCGGCGGTGCGCCGCGACAATGGGAAGGCGGCGGAGGAGGAAGAGGCAGAAGTGGAGGCAGAGGACAACAGGGCGATGGATGCACAAGGGCAGTCTGTGACGGCGTGGCTGCGCGCATTGGAGCGCCGCTACGCCCACGCGTTCGACGCCACCTTGTCGCGGCTGCTCAGCGACGGCACCACGCACTCCGCGGCGGCCGCGTTTCTCGCGCGTCACCTCAGCGGCACACGCTACGAACTGCTGGAGGTGCGCGGCTGCTCCGGCAGAGCGGAGCGGCTGCCGCTCTTCGCGTGCTTGCTGCACCCGCTGCCGGAGGTGCGCCTGCTTGCCGCGAAGGCACTGGACAGCATGACAGCGCAGCAACTCATCACGTCGTCATCAGCGGCAACGCCGTCGTCCTCGCCTGTCTCTGTGTCTCGCGGTGGAAACTCGCTCCTGGAGCTGCTGGAGCACGTCGCGCAGTACGAGCAGTCTGAGAAGGTTGCGTCGCAGCTGCTGCACACCGCCGCCACGGCCGCGGAGCGGTTGCTGGCGTTGGCGGCGAGCCGCCAAACGGAGGAGGAGGAGGAGGAGGCTGACGGCAAGCAACACGCCGCTGAGCAGCGTCTTGTGATTGCCCACCTCCGAGGCGTTCTCCACGCACTGTGGCGTATGGCCGCGCAACACAATTCAGCCATTCAGGTCGATCTCTTCCGCGTTGTGCTGAAGCCGCTGTTGCAGCACGTTAAGCCGCGCCTCTCAACGTCCCCAGCGAAGAAGAAAAAGATGGCGGCGCCACTCAGCAGTGAGTCTGCCGCCTTCCAGGACATTGTACGAGGGCTCGCGCTCTACTATGTGACGCTGCAGTACGTGGATGCGGTGGACCGACGAGCAGCAGGACGCCTGACCAACAGCACAGCGGAGGACGAGACAGAAGGAGACACACAACTGTGTGAGTTGATTGCGGAGTTGGAGCAGCAGCTGTGCGACGTCGTGCCAGACGTGAGCAGGACCGCTGCATTGCTAATAGCAGCGTCGGTCGGCACAACAGCGAAGGAAGAGAAGGACGACACGGATAGCAGCGATGATGAGACGACGAGGACGACGAAGAAGCAGCAGCAGCAGCGAAAGAGCGGCTCCATGCAGGTCACCGGGAGTTCTGCAGCTGCGAAGGGGAACCGCAACGGGTGCCTCTCAGTGTTTGAATGTGTGCCACTCCTGCAGCTGTTGCGCGAGGAGGCTGCCGCACGCCTGCAACCAACGCTGGCTCAGCTGCAGAGCAGCGCAGAAGAAGGTTCTTTCTCTCGTGCATCAAGGGTGGTAATGCTTGAGTGCTGCCTGTCGTGTGCGGCGCGACTCGCAACGTCCACGACGTCCGATGCAGACGCGGTGGTGCGCACCCTGTTGCAGTTCTTCCTTGGCGAACAGAAGACAGGCGCAGACAATGGCTACCTGGCCTCTTTGCAGGAAGCACAGCGTGCGGCATCGCGACACGAGAAGGCTAAGGTCGGCCGTGGCGCAAAGAACAGTCTGGCGGTTCCGTACGTGCCGCAGGATGAGTTGACGTCGGCGTTGGGTGCCACTGTGCGTTGCAGCATGGAGGTGCGCCTGACCACCAGAAGCGAGAGCAGCAGCAGCAGCAGCCCAATCGAGGACATGGAGTCCCTGGTGCGTATTGGGCGGCTGCTGGGTTACCTCAGCACTCCACTGCCTGCCATGGCGCTGAGCCCCGCCCGCCTTCCGCCTGCGTACTTGCGGCTGTTGGAGCTGCACGACGGCGACAATGGCAACAACAACACTTCTGATGGTGAGGCCCGCTTCCCAGTGGATTGGTTCAGTCTCGTCTTTGCGGCGGTGTACCGCACGCACTCCAGTGTGGCAGCAGAGGGCAAACTGCCCTTCTCGCTGACGGCACTTTCGTTGACACTGCTGTGCCCACTTGCTGCGCCGGAGAGCCGACGGGAAAGTGTGCTGCAGGAGCTACAGGCCATGGTGCTCGCGCCTCCGAAGGGCGAGCGCGGCGCTGCCAGCAACAGTGCGCGCGTGGTTGTGAAAGCGGCGATGCAGCAGGAAAAAATCTCCGTCACAACACTCAGTGCTCTTATTGAGGCAATGGCTCGAGCGGAGTCGCGTGGGGGCCTCACAGGTGGCGCGGCCGAGCTGCTTTGCCGCATGATGGCCGAGATGTGCGTTGGATCAAAGGGGGAGCCGGCGATGCCATTCTCTGTGTCGCGTCGCGCGATGGAACACTTCTTCCCTCTTCGTGGCAACAACAACAACATCAATAACAACAACAACAGCAACAACCGGGGTGGTGGCGCGGCCTGCAATATTTCCATGGCCATTCTTCTGCCGGTTGTGGAGGGAGTTCTGGCGACCGGTGGCAGCAGCGGCGGTGCGGCGGTAGTAAGTCCTGACGCAGCGGACTTTTTGCATGCTGTCTGCCTGCGCGCGGAGTTGAGCGCTGGCGACGATGCGTTCCTGCAGCTGTGTGTGGCGCTCCTACGCCACCCGTTCCTGCGCGTTGCAGGCGACCGTGTGCGTCCTGTGTACCGCCATGCCCTCAGCGCCTTCGCCGCCGCGTTGAGCCGGGGACTGGAGGCGCATAAGCCAACAAGCTCTGTACTGTTCATTCCGCAGACCCGGAAGGGCACGTCAGCGGCCTCGCCGCGCAGCAGCAGCGGCGGCAACGGGGCGGGAAGTAGCGGCGAAGAGTACATGCGTCACGTTGCGGCAACACTCACTGACACGCTCTTGGGTGACGACGCGCGTTTGAGTCGTCTTGGCGGCGACGCTGCTATGCTGCTTGTTGGCACGCTTGGCGGCTACCACCGTCTCTTCCTGCCTTGGTTGGCGCGGCTTGTGGAGCAGGCTGAACCCGACTTGTCGGCCTTGGTGGAGGTGGTGGAGGCGCTCGCGGCTCCGTCAACATCAACAGCAGCAGAGGTGGATGCGTGGGAGCCGCCGTCGTGGTGTGCTCTGCAGAATCCGCTGACGTTCACCGACGCGCAATGCCTTCTACAGCTGTGCGGTAAGTCATGTGGCAAGTCCCGCGGTGGAGAGCAGCAGCAGCAGCACTCATGGTCGCGGCATTCGGATGCTGTTCTCGGGCTTCGGCTGCTGTGCAGCGTCATCGCTGCCGCTCCGTCCATCCGCTTTGACGACGACGACGAGGCCGCGTCGCTCTTCACACTCATCAACGGCATGTTGGAGTCGTTTCCCCTGAGCGGTCTGCTGCTGCTCCTCGCGGAGGTTGACAACGATGACGCCGACAACACTGACAGCAATAGGGCGAACAAGGGCGATGACATGGAGACGTACCACCGCTGTGCACTTGCGTACGTGCGCGGCGTGGTCGACCTCTGTGTGTCGGCGCCACACGCGCTGAACGAAGTGCAGCCTCACGGTGCCGCCCGCATTGGCCGGACGCTTGTGAAGCAGTGTGTAATACTGATGGCCGCGCTGCTTGTCCCTGACAGCAAAGCAGCAGCAGCAGCAGCAGCAGCGGCAGAGATAGACGAGGAGCTGGATTCAGGAGAGGGAGAAGGAGCGGCCTTGTCGCGCCACCGGATTGACACTATCGCTGAGATTCTGCGCATTGTGTCGCCGCTCTTCACTCCTGCCGTTCCTGCTGCTGCAGGGCTCGGTGGTAATACTGCAGCGTCGCGCGCTGGCGGACGGACAGCGCTGCATATACCGATCGTAGCGCTCCTTATTCGGCTGGAGGCGGTGGATTTCTCGTCAGCGCGGCACCGCTACGAGAGCGCGATGGACGTGTGCAGCAGTCTTCTAACGAGCTTCGACGTGCACACGCAGCTGGCCTGCCTCACGCAGATGATGAGGCTCGTGCTCGACCCACACCAACAGCTCTCCGCCCCAACAGAGGAGGGGGAAGAGGAAGAGCAGCAACAAGGGGAGGAGAAGGATGTGACTGAGGACGGCGCAGTTGTGAAACTCTACCGCAAGTTGGTGAAGCCAAACCAGGTGATTAACCGGCAAGAGGGGATTCTGCATCTCATCAACACCACTGTGAAGTCGGAGGCCTTCTTGGGTGGCTTTCTCGAGCTGCAGCATAGCTACCACCACAGGAGCAGTGAGGCAGCAGGCAGCCTCCGCACGAAGCAGGACGGTGACAACGAGGCCGACGAACAGGCGACAGGAGAGGTGGGTACCCACACGAACGACGCGTGCATGGCGCTGCTGGTCGCAACACTAGAACTCTTCGCACATTATGCAGAGCTCAACGCGGCCACACCAAACGACGCCACGTCTTCTTCTGCTGCTGGGGCTGCAGCTGCAGTAGCCGAGGAGGATGAGACACTGCAGTTCGGCGAAAACAAGGCGTTCGTTATGCTGATGGAGCTGCTGGCTGGCAACACGCTGGCGTGCGTCCTGGCGGGCATCAACGAGCTGACGTTTGTGGCGTGTCTGCAGCGCCTCCTAACCGACACGCGTGTGGCGCTGCAGCAGAAGGGACTGGAGGTGCTGCTTGATCGTCTGCACCACGCCCTTCCAACGGTAGAGCACACACTCACTGACGCGGAGGTGGCGGAGCACCGGAGACAGCTGCGCGATCCAAAGTGCAAACTCACGCTGATGGACCTCGTGCGCGTGAAGGCGCGTCCGCTGGCGACTAAGCGCTCCTTTGCGCTCTTCACGCACCTCACTGCGCTGTTGCACGCGTCGGTGGAAGCGGCCACCACGCAGCCGTCAGCAGCGGCGGCGGCGGCGGCGACCGCGTGGCACATGCTCCCACTGTGCGTGAGCTGCATGGAGGAGACGGTTCGCATTGTTGGTAGTGGCGGCAGCCTGCAGGCGGAGAAGACGCTGCTGAACGTGCACCGCGCCAACCGCGTCACGGAGGCGACGCTGTCAAAGCTGTTTGGAAACAAGGCGCGCGTGCAGGAGGTGCATCGCTGGGTGGACGACATGGTCGCCCTCCTTCCGCGTCTCCTCCGCCGCGATGCAGCACCAGCAGCAGCAACAGCAGCAAGAACAACATCGTCATTGTCGGTGGCCGCGGAGGGTGACGCGCTGCTCGCCGGTGCTGCGATGCTCACGGCGTTGGGAACCGTCTGCCAAGTTATGGGCACTTCCTTTACCACTCCGCACAGCAACAATATCCTGCAGAGTGTTACGGGAGTGGCGGTGTTCGCGGTGGCGGAGGTCGCACCTGTCGTGTCGCGCAGTGAGGCAGGGTCACTGCTTCGCCAGGCAGCACTTGGCTGCTTGCTGCGCGTCTTTCCGTCGTGCTGGCTCATGTGCCAGCCGTACCTTCCTCGCATTGTATTTGCCGCGACACACTTGCACAACGTCGACGACGGCGAGACGAACTACCGAAGCTCGGAGACAATGTCAATGCTGGAGGCGTTGCTGGAGCCGCAGCTGTTCATCGAGGCATGCACAGAGTGTCTGCGCGGTGTGGCGACAATGAATCCTGACAAGGGCGGGAAGAAGCCGATGCGGGTGCGTGTTGACACCCACTCCTTTGCGCTTCTCTATACGAGCGTGCGGCGGCGCGTGGCGGGGCTAAAGCGGGAGGAACTGCTGCATCTGAGTATCCTCGTTGAGGGCGCAACGGTGCACGATAACTTCTGGCTCGCCTCGCTTCAAGCCCTCGCTGCGGCACCAGCACTCCCGTCGCGGGACATTGTGCAGCCTGTGCTGGAGGCGTATGAGGTGTTCTTCCTCAAGTTCAGGGCGAAACACTGCGCACGGTACTTGTCGGCGGTGGCGGAGTGGGCCTTTGGTGGCGCCGCAGAGGGCTTTCTCGAGCGCACTGAGAAGCAGCAGCAGCAACAACAAAAGATGGATGACAATGACAGCCGCGAGCGGGACGATGCGGCGGTGGTGCCGCGCTCCACAATGCACGGCTGGCTGCTCTTCTACGCGCTGTGCAACCACCTGCTGGAGCGGCTCAGCTCGATTTTCGACTTCGGCTTCCCCATCATACTGCCGTACATTGTCAGCACGCTGACGGGCTACTGCTCCGCAGAGCAGCACACGATGCGACACGCGGCCGGACTTATCGCGCTGACGCTGGAAAGCGCGCTGGAGTGCGTGCGCCGCATCGCCGCCGCGCAGACGGCCGGCCCAGACCACGACTACAGCGTGCCCGTCGACAACTACCTCGCAACGCCGGAGGTGTTCAACGCGGTAATGCCCGCAGTTGTGCGGCAGCTGACGAACCTCGCGTACCTCGTCGATGGCACGCACGACTACGGCTTCCGCGCGGAGCACCACGTGGTGCCGGCGGTGCGTGCGCTCTTCCAGTCGCTCGCCGCGCCGAAGCTGCAGAGCCGCATGCAGCACGAGCTGCTCAAGACGCTGCGGCACCAAAGCCGACACGTGCGGCGCTTGGCGCTGCTGTGCCTTGACGGCATCTACGCCGACGGCGGCGATGAACTGGCGGCGCGGCTGATGGCGGAGATGCTGCCGGCCGTTGTGGAGATGACGGAGGACCGCGATGACGCCGTCGTGGAGCAGGCGCGGCGGCTCTGCAACAACTTGTCTGCCATCACCGGGCAGGACGTGCTGTACGCCATGAGCGCGTGAGGAACGTGTGGGGAATAGGCTTTTGGTGGGGGTTGGTGGACACGGCACCCCCCCCATTTCTCACGCAAGCGGAGGGGCCCGATACACGCAACTTAGGATATATAAACAAGGGGGAAAACAGTTACATTAATACATTCTGTGCGCTGCTTCTGCAGCACGACAGACGAGGCGTATGATGATTTGTGGGTCTGTGTGAAGGAGAGAGGTGCGTTGACGCCACAAACTGCTCTGAAGTTAACGACTAACAAGAGAACATGATAACTCCTGTCTTTCCCGTGCTCCTACCGCTGATGGATCTGCTGTTGCCCTTGCAACTGGTGTGTCGTGGTGGCGCGTGAGTGTTCTTTTCTTTCTTGCTTGTTCTTTTCCGTATGGTAGTGCAGACGATTGCAAAACAATGGCACCGCAGGTGCGGTGCCTCTGTTATCCGCCCCGCATTAGTGCAGACCCAGAACCCTTGCGCTTGTACCGCTACACCACCCCAACGCCGATTGGCGAGTTCGTTGTGCTCGTTGACGCCGAAGGGGCTGTGCGGTTGAGCAACTGGACGGACTGCGAGGAGTATGCACTGGGACGACTGCGGCGCGCGTACAACCCGCGCGAAATCGTCGTGCTGGATGCAGCCGCATTGACAACGGGAGGGGAAGCGGGCGAGGGTGCTGATGCTGATGTGCGCTCTTTCGCGGTACGGCAGCTACAGCGGTTCTTTGGTTATCCTACAGTTGGCACAAATGAAAAAAGCTGCGAGAACGGTGCAGGCAGTTTGCATCAAGACGACAATGTGCCGATCCGCATTCGGCAGCAGGAGCTGCACGCACTGCTAGCGGCCGTGAACGTGGAGCTTGCGCCGTCGACGCAGTTCCAGCAGGCAACGTGGAGGGTCCTCCGCGAGGTGCACTGTGGCGCAGTGACGACGTACGGCGCCCTCGCGGCACGCTGCCAGCGCCCCAACGCCAGCCGTGCTGTTGGGCAGGCGATGCGGGAGAACCACCACTGCGTGTTTCTGCCGTGCCACCGCGTTGTTGGGGCGTCACGCGCGCTGACAGGGTTCAGCTCCGGGTTGTGGCGCAAGTCGTGGTTGCTGTGGCACGAGCAGGCGCCGTTGCCGGTGCAGCAGCTGCAGCACGCGGAGTTGGAGCTCAGAGTATCACTCAAACGGCCCAGAAAGTAGAGCCCCTTGAGAGCTGTGCTTCTCTGCTATATCTTTCTCTCTTTCAGACACACACATACACACACAGTTTTTCTCTATTGTATGAGTCTCACGGAGTGCCTTATTTTCGGGCAGTCTCGTCTTCCCTCTGACTGAAGCTCTCGCCTTGGCTCTCTGCAGGCTTCCCTCACACTCCCTTCCTCGCACGCGCTCCACTGTTTGCGCCACCATACGATAATCTTGGCACTAATTATAATGATGATGATTATTATTGCCCTTTGATTTGTTTGCAGGTGTTTGTAGTTGTACAGACAGCAATAATGCGTGACGCCAACGCGACCGCCGCCACACAGCAGGCGTCGTCACCATCGTCGTCGCGGCGCCCCGCGGGCAGGCGGCGTGCGNGCGTCACCGCTCTGCAGTGTCCGTACTGTGCCCGCCTCTTCACCGGGGGCCCCAGCAAGAACATCAGCACCGCGTACAGCCGTCACCTCCTCACACACACCAAGAGGCGGCCGTACCAGTGCGAGTTCTGCCTCGCGAAGTTCACGACTAGCACCAACCGACGCCGGCATATTCTGCGGCTCCATCCGGAGATGGCCGATAGACTGACAAGACCCCCTGCTGCTGCTGCTGCTGGAGAGGAAGCAACCAACGTAATAGAATCAGATAATGAGGGAACTGAAGAGAATGCACTTGGCTTCACTTGCCGGTTCTGCAGTTTGGGCTTCGCGTGCAAAGGAAAGCGAACACTTCACGAGCGTCATTGCCCAGAAAGACCTAATCCGCCACGAGTGGTGTTGTCGCACCCTTCGCTGACGCCCGCTACACCCACACCCACACTCGCCACCACCACTACCACTGAAGCCACTGCTGCTGCAGGAGCTGGAGGTGCTTCCACGAGTTTTGCACCTCCGAATTCTGACTCGGCGGATACATTCTTCGTGTGCCCCAACTGTGAGCAGGAAGTCGCCGGCCGCCAGCACCTCAAACGCCACTTACGGTGTTTCTGCCCCTTCCGTGACGATGTATTCGCCACGTACAGCGACGACGACGACGACGACAGGGGCGTTGACGACGGTGGTAACACTGTGTGGGTGGGGTCCCGTTCGCAAACGAAGCGAAGCCGCCGCATTCTGTCGAAGCGCCGCGCGGGCCTCACGGAGCGCTTTAGTGGGAGACTGAGTGACGATACAAAGGACATGCCTGCATCCTCACCAGCATCAGCAGCAGTGGCGGCAGAGGCGTTGTGGGCTGCAACGCGGCCCCACACGCGTGGACCAACAACTGTCATCTGTCCCTATGACGACTGCATGTCCGCCTTTTCTTCGCGCACGCGGTGGCTGGCGCATGTGGCGCGACGCCACCCACACGAACTTGCACGAGACACGGCAGGCCCATCGGCGTGACGACGTTAACGGTTCTGCCTTGCTGTTGCGAACCAATACTATCACTTTTGCCGTTCTCCAACCAATTTCCCGTGACGAGTGAGGGTGCAAGCTTGAAGGCAAACAAAGAAAGGGAAAAGAAAAAAAGGAGGAGGTGTAGAAGGAGGACGAAGAGAGACTTCGGGCGGGGAGGCAGTGGCGGTACGGCACGGCACGGCACGGGGCTGGCGCTGTCTCTCCCGGAGCCCTACTCCCGTTCTCTGTGTGCGACTCGCGCCGTTGTGAGTGAGTGAGTGAGTGAGTGTGTGTATGCCTATGTCTGTGTGTCTGTGTGTCCGTGTGCGGGGTATCCCGCACAAATACGCGTGACAGTGCACCGGCGTTGCAGCGCCACCGTTTTGCTTCCAAATTCCTCTCTTTCTCTCTCTCTCTCTCTCGTCTCTTGCGCAATTTATTTAAACGAAAATAACAACAACAACAACAACAACAACAACGACTGCGTCTATGCGAATATAAGTGTTTGATCGAGAAGAACAAGTGACATATTTCCCCTTCGCTCCGCGTATCTGCTGACATCTGCCCACAAAACCGAACCGTTCGTCGTGATCCCCTTCTCCGCTGGCGGAGGGAAGTGGTGCTTTTAGTCTATTGGTTCACCCAGAATGGAGCGAGCATGCATGCTGACGCCCATTCAAGTTGTGCCGTCGAAGGATTCCCGCACAGAGCTTCTGGCGTGGCTGAATGATCTGCTCCCGCACACAACTCCCGGTGGCCACACAATTCCACCCATTCGTAAAGTGGAACTCTGCGGCAACGGTGTGCCGTACGTACTTATTCTGCCCTCGTTACTCCCGGTGCCGTACCCTCCGCTGATGAGCAAGGCGAAGATTCCCGCTAAGCACGAATTCGAGTCCGTGACAAACCTGAAGCTATTCTCGGATGCGCTGCAGAGAAACGGCATCCCAAGACCGGATGTGCTGAATGACGAAATAGATAAGCTCATTAAAGGCGCCTACCAGGCGAACCTGCAACTCCTGCAGTGGTTCCGCGGTCTGTATGAGGCGCTTTTAATACGAGCAGGGGAACA